CGCGAAATATACGATTCATCAGGGGGACGAAAGTGATCTATGAATTAATAAGATATCATAGACGTATAAGGATATGAGATTTCATGATGAAATGGAAAATTTGTAAGTGCTGTTGATGAGCATCCCCTTTGTGCTTGGATGATCGATAGATAACCTTGTATTGCCTTATTGATACGCATGATGAAATGGAACTTTTGTATGTAATGCTTAGATGACTTTATCCCTTTGTATGATAGTATTCCTTTGTGATTCGATAATATTATCCAGTGATATTGCAAATAAACGCCGAAACAAGCTAATAGTTCTTTGGAGTTTGTTTTTCAACTGCTTTCATATTCACTAACTGGAAAAACAATAACTGGGATGCTAAGGTCAATAGAACTCATTAGCCTAATGAAAATAACTTGATTTATTATTTCCAGATGGAGCCATCACAATTGCCTGTGAAAAGTTTCGTGAGATTACCTTGTGGTGGCATTGGGATCGATTCAGATACGTATTTCAATGATGCATGTACCCAGCTTGCTGCTCGAATTGCGGCTGGATCCCTCATAGAACTTGCATCACAGGTATCGCTCCACTTCAGTATCATGCATTTCAGTGGAAAATTGCGTATTAGTATAGTTCCGCATGGTACAATATAGATATTTGTGGGAAGAAATCACAGATTTTACAAGTAGAATTTTTCGAGAATTTGATGTGTGATATGGGAGAGTTTTTGTGATGTACGATTGAAGGTGGCCGAAGGGAAATTGCGCAACGGGTTTGCATGCATTCGTCCACCGGGTCATCACGCCGAATACGATCAAGCCATGGGATTTTGTTTCTTCAATAATGTGGCCGTTACTGTCAAATATTTACAACAGGTATGCGAGAAAAATTTTGTGAACATTTTCCTCCTTTTCCCAACTTGATACCAGCATTCGTTTGCCGTAATTTGGTCGTGATTTTGGTCATTGAACGAAATGGCACAGCTGAGACACTGATGAATAAATATTGTTGTTATACTTAGCGATATCAAGAAGTTTGTTCGCGAATTGCCATAATCGACTGGGATGTACATCACGGCAATGGTACACAGCTATGTTTCGAATCGGATCCATCTGTTCTCTACTTATCACTGCATCGACACGACAATGGAAATTTCTTTCCGGGTACGGGTGCTGTCACTGAGGTTTGTTGTTTTGCTGCTTTAACGTTGTTGTTCCTCTTTTCTATGATATCAGCTTTCACTATTATCTTCCCCATTAATAGTTTCAATGATAACAAAACAAATTTTTGTGCAATTTACAGGTAGGCACCGGATCGGGTAAAGGCTACACAGTGAATGTACCATTTTCGGGCGAGATGATGTCAGATGAGGATTATTTAGCGGCGTGGCGAGTTGTTGTGGCACCAGTACTCGATGATTTTCAGCCAACTTTTATTATTGTATCGGCTGGTTTCGATGCAGCCAAAGGGCATTCACATGCACTCGGAGGGTTCGTTCGTGCATTCGTTGCTTGATTCATTGTATCTCTGAAACTGATTGAACTGGTAGCTGTCCGACAGCAATTAATCCATTTTGACGCGTTCAAGTGAACTGAAATCGCTTGGTGTATTGTTGAAATCTTCTGTGAATTCAGTTTAAGCACTCCTTAACTTTGATTATGAATCTCTTCGGTGAGCCTCTTTTATTTGAGACAGATGCGCAAAATGGATCACTTCTGACGATCACGTAATATGTTTGGAGGTTCAGAAACTAAAATTTTATAAGGATAAGCTGTCTAGAAGTAGAATATAAGTCTCACGGGGATTAAGCCATAATTTGACAGCACTCTAAAGAGCGATGAGTTCTTAAACAATGTGATAACGACCCGCAGTAATTGGTTCTGATCTGATCAATTTTCAGATACAGTTTAACACCTCAGTTATTCGGTTATCTCACTCGTCAACTGATGACCTATGCGAACGGTCGTGTTGTACTGGCCCTAGAGGGTGGTTACGATTTGGCCGCAATTTCAGATTCTGCTGAGGAATGTGTCAAAGTGAGCAGATCATCTCTTAATGAAGCTATTTTGGAGTGCACTTCTCTAAAGTTGATTTAAGACGTAACCTGAAAAACTGAGCTTTATGCTCACGAAAAATCAAAAGCATTCGTTTAAAGTAAAAAGTTAACCAATCTTCAGGTGTTATGCGATGATTGTCCTGAAACGGCTGGTAAATTAAGCGATGAAGCGTTGAATGCAATCCCAAAACAGAGTGCTCAAGAAGCCATTCAAAAAGTTTGCCGTTTTTTTTTTCAAATTCAGCTGCGCTTTTTGAGATTAATATTACTGACAATGAGTTGAAAAATTGAAGAATATCTGGAAATTCCAGTGCTCTTATATTTGAATTGGATTGCTGTTAGTAATGTATATGTGTACATCTTTGCGTGGTTGCTAT